GTACTTCTGATTCGAAACATAAAATAAAAATAAAATGAATATCACATACATCTGAAATGTGACGACTTTCTAAGAAACTGGGAAGTCGAGAAGCAGTCTTCATATATTTGTATATTAACTATAATCAAATAGTTGATGAAGTCAACATTACACACAGAGAAAGCTTTTAATAATTAAATAAACATCTTATATTAAGATGATTGATATAAATTGCAAGTCATAGAAAATTTTTAGATGAAATCGAACGATTACGATGCTAGTTATTGAAGAATTCTCTCACCGATAAAAATTCATTGTATTTGATTTTGCAGATTGTGTAGACATTTGAGATCAAGCTTGACTCATTACTATAATGGATAAGACTGAAGAAATAGTACCTGCCAATCTAAAATTAGAACCATTTCAGTCGTAAGTTATTTTTCTTTGTGGTAATTTACTTGTTTATTTATATTCTAGAAAAGTCATCCCCAACGAACAAATTCCATCGAGTACATTTTTCAATCATAATTTTCACAAAAAAAAAGATTATTTTCTATCAAAGGTCATAAAACAAAATCGGTAGTCGTCACTAAAGAACCATTGTTCTCACTGACTACGCATCCAATGCCTAAAAACTTTCCTGAAAGTCTACGTGAGGCGATGGAGACTGGATTTGTCAAGTATGCCTTCAAGCGTGTATTCAAGCATGTATATACACGTAAGTGTAATATCAGCATAACTAAAAAAAAAACATTTATTCTGTTCTTTGTAGTTTGTGTTTCACTTTATGTGATGCTCTTCGCTCATGCTGCTGCTATNCATGATAGAAAATAAATAGATTGAGATATTATTCTTAATATATATTTTTTTCTTCTTAATTGATAAACTTGATTTTAATTATTTTTTGCACTAATTACATATTATTGTGTATGTTATATAACATTCCTGTCTATTTAAATAATTTTTTTCAAAATAACCATAGACAATTGTTATCAAAAATACATGACATCTGCTTGAAGAGCATCGTCTTTGAAATTTTTTTGAAAGTTGATTAATACGTCTACTAGAAATAATTTATTTTTGAATAATTAATTCGTATTGCATCTCTTTGAAAATTGTCTGTCACTTTTTTCAATAGTTGATAATCAATAAGAAGATGAACACCATTTGGCAAACGTGTTTTTACATCTAGTAAAAATTCTTCAACATAATCTTCATGAACTTGAATAAGATACCAAGTTCAGTAATATTATGATATTCAACAATTGAGAAATTTCATGTTCATTTTCTAATTTTGTATATTTTTTATTCTTTTGTGCTTCATTATTAATTTCAGTTAACTTTTTCATAAATGGAAATGTTGAACAATTCGAAGAAACAATTCATGTTCAAATGGACGTTCATCAAATAATGATACTATATTAACATATTGAAATAATCCACCTAAAAAATTATTAGGTTATCCCATGATAATATGTCGATTTATGTGGATACGAATAAATATGCCATTGACTATATATAAGTTCTTTGGAAAATAATTAACACAAGAAATAACTGAATTATATTTAAAATCTTTGAATGTTTGTTGACTGTCTTCATTTGATGGTAAATCAGTTTGATTTTTACAATAACTGATTAATCTAATATTAAATGTAAATGTCTTTAATCTTAATAATTGATTGATAATATTTGTCTTCAAATCATCACCAATAATATATGTTTCTCTTTCACAATTTAACTGTAACTTAAGTTTTTCTAAATTCACCATTCTATGCAGAAGTGGTACAATTAAATCATCATACTGATGTGTATCTATATCAGAGTGCATCAAGAAGCTTTTTAAATTAGATATTTTTTCCTAAAAAACAATCATACTTGAATAAATCAAATATTAATCAAAGTAATTCACCTTATCATTAATTGTATGATTAAACGAAGTAATGAAAGTAATATGAACATAAAGTGTTTGAAGTTGATTGACACGTTCATCAAGTAAATAAAGACAATCAATAAAATCTTGCAAATTGACATGCAATTGTAATAGAAAAGGAAGGGAAAACAGTTGGAGGTGAACACGCAAATGATAATTTTTGACATAGACTTAAGGATGGACTAAAATTTAAACATTGTAAATTGGAAAATATATCACAAATAAGTGTAAATATAAGTCTAATAATTGATCCTTCATCTCGTTCATCGCTCTTAGTAAAATCGATAATAAGTAATATATAGTCTGATTTTTGAATCTAAGAAATAAAGTTTTATTTATACATAAACAATAAAAAATATTTTGAAAATAAATTAACTATTTTCAATATTGATCAAATCATAGCATATAGATTTTTTGTGTACTCAAAAAGTGGGTACACTACTAAAATCGGTCTGTGTGTCCGGCCGGCCTTCCGTATACACGATAACTTTCGAAAGGAGAGTCAGATCGCGATGAAATTATTTACACAGTTCAGTCTTTACAATATCTCAGTCGAGTTCGAAGATGAAAAGGATCCGTCGAGAAATGACTGAGTTATCAACAAAATTGTGATTTTTGGCCAGACCATCCCTGAGGGAGGGAGGTACCGGGATTTTTTGCTCATAATTATTCATAAAATACATAAATCGACTCAGTTTTTAACTCTGATTCTGAATCTGATATTAGTTTTGAACCAAATCATAGTTTTGTGTACTCAAAAGTGAGTAGACTATAGAATAGTCAGTGTGTCCGTCCGTCCGGTTGGCTGTTTGCATAATAACTTTTGACAACAGAGTCAGATTGTGATAAAACTTTCCACAAAGCTAAGTCTTGACAATATTTCGGTCAAGTTCGAAGATGAGAAGGATCGGCCGAGCCGTTCCAGTGTTATTGCAAAAATACCCATTTTTCCCTATAGCTTCCTATGGAAAAATCGACCTATCGCCACTTTCGTAAAAGATTTTTCCTATCATAGTCAATTAAAATCCTAACTGTTTTACACCATTCGATAGAGAATTTCAAGAGCTACAAAATGATATATAAAACATAAAGAAACAAGAATGTAGACTCACCTATCACAAGGATAATTAAAGAAAACTAAGTTATATTTTGGTCCACGATCTAATTGATTCACAAGTAGAACTCTATCTTCCAATCACAGTGATGATACTTCGAGGTTTTCAGAGATGGAGAATTCGAATGTGTATTGCACTTCCATCGAAATACTATTGGTTGTGCAGTGACCAATAGAAATCAAGTTATAGAGAAAACGACTTTGTTAGGGTAAATCAAGGGAAAAAGTTCAAACTTGAGCTTTATTCGATCTCAATTCCTATTGATTTGCCAACCCGCAATAAAAATCAACATTTTAAACGGTAGGTTTCGCAGTATAGTTTTGATGTTGAGACATTCTAGGATGATTCATTTGTATGATTCATTTTTTGAAGTACACATAACTGTCTGATTCAAATCAGAAGTTTCCGCATTTATTTTTAATGAAAAAAGTTCGAAAATTGTAAGATAAATATGAGACTATTGTTTATATAGATTGAGTTTGTCAATCAAATGTCGATATTTGCATCGATGTACAATTATTTATGTACTCTGTTTTACTTTTTTGTGGTCTCTTCTTATTTTTCTGCCTTTTTTTTGTATGTATCCTATATTTTCGTTTTTTGTTCTGTGTTCGTATTCTCTTCTATTTTAAACTTCTCGAGCTTTTTCGTTTTTTTTCTTTTTCTAAGCTTGTTCGGTTTTGCTTTCATTTTTATGATCAGTTCTTTTTTCTCTCCTCCCTCCTAAAAACAAGTTCTGAAAGTGTTGTATGGTACTCTATCTTATCGACAATATAAATGCTTATATACATTACTGTAGACGATTGCATGTTGTGAAATTAAATCTAAATTCGCTGCCGTATAAGCGCTTCTGAGCATAATAATAGATAACAATATTGAAACAAGTTTTTATGTAAGTTGTCTTCAAGGTTATTTCATTTGGCATCTTTGAAGAAGCAAAATAAGAAGAGAGCAATGCATCGATCGTTATCTTTATAGTTTTTTCATTCCTTTTCTGTCCTCAGTTTTGAATTTTGCTTCTTTGTTATAGAAAAAGAACCGTATAAATAAGAATCGAGATCAAATAATCGATTAAAATCCTTTACTTTGAGTCATTGTCGATTTAATTTTTGTCCCAGGTTTTCTTGTACGCGACGCATCAACGATATTTTGCAAAAATTTTTCGATCAGATCTATTCTTTAGATCAAAGGTGAATATGTCTATTCCAATCAATACAGACTCAAGTGAAGCAAACACATATATAACAGCTATCACATGTGATCAAATGAACGATGCTGAAAATACATCCGAGAATACATACTTGCATGGCTTGACAAAGCAATGAACAATGATAATAGTGCTTTTGATATTAGTCTTGGTCTTATGCATACTGTTCAACAAGTTTTCACGTTTAGTGACGGTCAAAAATGCCTTGATTATTTAAGATCTATTACCAATAAGCGAGCATTTTTGGTGCTATCCTATGCGATAGATGATCAGCTCTTGAACGAATTTCTAGTATTGCCTCATCTTGAATATATATATTTTTTTGGTAGAGAAGCTATATTGAAAAAAAGAACATTCGAAACTCATCGAAATTACAAGTATACATGACTTATATAAACACCTTAACAAAGATGCGCGATCTAGCAATGAGGAAGATCAGGATACTGATTTTGCTTCATTGGAATTAAATTCATCAGTGAAATCAATACAAGAATTAGATTATGCTCGAACATTTATCTTCTATCAATTTATAATAGAAGTTCTACTTCGTCTTCCCAAAACAAATGAAATCAAAGAGCAGTTCATTTCTTTTTGTATGGAAAATACTGACGATAATCCGACCCAAACGAAGATTTTTGAGGAGTTTATCAAGAGTTATAAACCAGATGAAGCGATTGCATTGTATTCTTCAACGTCTTGTCTTCATCGATTGTTGAATCGCACTTGTCGATTGGGCAATTTAAAAGATATGTTTAGACTTGCCTTTTATATGACTGATCTTTACGTTCAATTGAAACAGTTACACCAAGAACAGTTCGATTGGACTCAAGAACGTGTACTTGTCTACAGGGGACGACGGATGCTCCCTGCAGAATTCGAGAAATTGAAAGCAAGTATTGGAGGTTTGGTTGTCACAAAATCTTTTTTGTCAACGACGACTGAAAGAGATGTTGCTGTGGTGTATTCTGGAAAGGATACATCAGATCCTAATATTGTTCCAGCTATAATACATATGAGAATTGACAAGCAAAAAAATGAAACAAAACCATTTGCTTTCATTCGCTATCATAGTAAAGTAAGAGAAGATGATGAAGTTCTAATATCAATCGGGACAATATTTCGAATCATTGAGGAGAATTATAAAGTATTTTCATGATTTTAATTCTCTTTAGGCTCAATTGATCTACTTTTTTATTTTCTTCAGAATGGTGTTCATGAGTTTGTATTAGTTAGAAGTGACACCGAAGAGCAACTGGAACACAAAATCAAGGAAGATTTTCGAAGTCAAATTAGTGAAAGTGAAACATTTCTCAATGTGGATTCTTCAACAGATATCGTTAAACTTTGCAAAGAAGCCCTAGATGTTTCGACGTCATTTGATGATCATATTACAAAACAACATGAAGGATCAGTTTCATCCAAAATTCTCGAGACAAAGAATACAGGTATTGATTTATTTTCGTTCAGTATTTAAAAGATATCAATATACATTTCAAAAATAAAAGTTAAGTATTTTTAGAATCGTGTTTCATAAGATCGAGATAGAAATCTAAGGTATTTACTGTTCGAAAGAGCAATCACAATAGCATTCAATCAAGAATATCACATTTTCCTAAAAACTTTTCGTTCTGAGAGAACTTCCGAAAAAAGTTTAGTTTTCTAGATTCAATTCAGTTTCATTTCTTCTTGTTAACAGCAAATGTTGTAGATCTTTATTTTGTTTCTCTAAAAACTTATTTCAAAACTACTGATCTGCCTTGTAATTTGAAATAGATGCTATTCCTGAATGGCACGTATAAAGTTGTACGCGTGCATCGGGTGTCAGTGGAGATACAGACAGGAATGCGTGAGTCTGGATGTCATGTTAGTGTATCCTCCTTATACACATCCACATTCATGCAGATTGCATATGCATCCTTCACTTTGAAAAAATCGTTAACTATAAGTGTATTTTCCATTGAAAGCGTTGCTTTGTTGTTTAGAATCGTGTTCAGTTATCACAACTCCACTTACACGGACTATAAGACTATCAAAGCACGCATTTAGGAGACTCTACAATGAAATCTTAGAATTGAAGTGTAAATTTAACAGTATCTTTATCATTGATGTCAATCCCTTCTCTGATGATAATGATCTAGATGATAGCTCAAAGATGGCATCTTCATCTTTATCAAATTGCATTGTCATTGAAGGTCGTATTCTGCCAACAGTGGAACCTTTTAGTCTACGTTCGTTTCGTATTAGAATCACAATAGTCGAACAATATCCCTTCGAGCCTCCAAAATTAATATTATTAGATCGTATCTACCATCCAAACGTCGACGACACTGGTCGTATCTGTCTTGATTTACTGGATCCATATGAGTCCTATAAAGAATTAGTGTCACTGGCTGATATCATAAACGGTGTAGAGCGGTTACTGAGCAATCCTGATCCGAGTCATGTTATCAACATTGCAGCCGACGTACAATACAGGAAAAACCGTGATGAATTCAATCGGAAGGCATTGGCATTCGTTCTACAGTATGGTCAACCACGCACATAGTATTGTCTCTACGGCTACAGAATTCCAAACACGCTTGAAAACATCGTTTCCTCAGCACATGTATTCACAGCTTTCGTCAAGATAATCCAACAAGAATAAGGATGTGGAAAAAATGCACTCCCGTCAGCACACGCACTTAGACTTAAACTTACACTCATATCCTGTTTTTTGCTGCTCTTCATTTTAATCGTTTATTAACTGATTGTTTTTTATTTGTAGAGATCGAAAGATGAAAATTAATTCCGTTCTTCGTAAAAAATGTATATGCTTAAGTATTTTTGTTTTGATTGCAGATAATTGACATAGAATTTCCATTATGCATAGAGTAATTTAACCTGATTATTCTTCAAGACTTATGCCATAATAATCTATGTAAAGAAAATCCTTCTTTTATAATTTCCTTGTTAAATTTCGTAGTAGTTCGAATACTTTTGAACCATAGATCTTTATTTTTGAACATCAAAATACATCTTCTATCGATTGATTTCTTATTTAAAAATTAACCCTCGTAGTACAATCCAAAGTCATTTTTGACTTCACTCTCTAAAAATTTAAAAATATGTTAGAACTATTTTGCTGTTCCCAGTTCTTAAAAGCAACTAGTATTCCTTATGAATAGATATATATTGTTGAATCTAAAAAGGAATACAGGGTGTGGGTGTGGGTGTGGATACTCTGTTCTCCAACACCCACATCCCATATCTATACATGTATTATTATTATTAACGAGAGGATAAATTGTTAATCTTCTTCTGATACTAAATGATAGTGCGCTGAAGAAGAATCTTTCAAATACCATTCTTCAACAGGTAATCCATCTAAACGTTTTAGGGTGTGAGTGTGAGGGTGGAGTGAGTGTGGGTGGTTATGTGGTTATTGCTGTGTCGTTAATACACCCATACTCACACTCACACCCAGGACGATTTTCCTACAAAAAGTAATTTCAACATGAGCATGTCATTATTAATCTCTCTCCTTCTCTGTAGTCTTACTATCAATATATCTCAAGTGAAGAGGAAAAGCATTGAAATATGTATGATGGAGTCACTTTTTCTTTTCTTTTTCTATATGCAGTATTTCGTATTTACCCGTGGGGAAAAGAGAATGGAAAAATGCTCTTGAATGGACTAGATGAATGCATCCAATAGTGATGATGATGTTTGTATTGAACTGAACAATAAAGCAACATTTCGTAGAAACACAGCGAAAAAAGTGAAGTTTTGTCTAATTGTCTCAAAAAATCAGGTAGAAGCTCACGGAAAAAAATGTCTATGTCTTCTGAACGATACGGGTAAAAACTCCAGGCCTTGGACAGTTTTGAAAGTCTTCAATTGACGCTTCTAATGTACTCCTGATGATTCAACGCGATACATAGATTTCCAGAACAGCTCAATTCAAAACTCTTAAAAGAAAACTTGCCAAAAATATCTGCAGTATCCGATTAGATGTCGTTTGAGTCTCTCTTTCTAACGGTAAAAATCGCAGATCTTTATGTTGTTTCTATGGAAAATTTTTCAAAAACACTCACAACGTTTCTTTTTTTGAAACGAATATTAACCAAAAAGCTATTCTATGGCTATATCAACTTTATGCTAAGTATGGATGATTATCTGGTAGTATTTGTTCTCATATATTCAATGCTTGATTATCATTACTCATATTAAACAATGTACGACCAATATTGTACAAACTATACTGTTTAGAATAGTTCACATAAATAGATTGGAAATAGATAGAAATTTCGAATATGAAGATAATCAAGCGAGAACATAGAAATATTGAAAATTGCAATAGAGGAAGAGGTATTGAGACTAGGAAGCAAACAGAACTAATATTTCAACACAACTTTACTATGAAATTCGAATTGTACGTGGTAACAAAAACCGTGCTGTGGTAGATTTGATTGTGTATATAGGGCATGCCAAACGTTTTTTCCCTGGTCCTTTTATTTGTATGATAGCATTGGGATTTGCAGAAAATCCAAATGAATTAAATAATCGTCAATTGTATGCATCTCGCTATCGATTAACAACATCACATTGACCAAAGGAATTTCAAATGATGGATGGGAAAATATCAAAAGGTAGAAATAGTACTGAATTGACAGATTATAAACGAAATCTCATTTTAGAAGTTCAGAAATAAAGTATTTTCAATTGATTGTATTTGAATAATATCTAAGTCTTACACAAAGAAAAAAAAAGAACTTTATAACATTAATTGTATTGATGAATTAATTTGAAAATTATACCAGCACGATAGTTATCATTTTCTGGTGCTTTAAACGCTTATTTAACATGAGAATTAATCAATCCATACATGAAGTGAAGATACATGAAACGAATACGTTCCATCAGTACAGATGTTATTCTGTTGTAAATATTCATCTATTACTGACCGAGGCGTTTTGAAAGGACTAGTCCAATGAGTAGCTATGCTGTTCAGATAATGAAGTTCATTAAAGAGTCGAAAAATATCATCTCGATTTTTGACGGACAAAGAAATATGTTCTAGTTTTGGAAATGATTGACAGATTTGATCAATATCCATACTATGTACATTTTGCTTCATATTTAAATTTTTTATTTGTTCAAATACATTTTGACCATCTGGAAGTGAATTGATAATTTGTACTAATGTTTTACCACACATAGTTAGTTGATAAATGTTGGGTGCTGCTTGAAAAAGATCGTTCAACGGCATGTGTCGTACACACTCTCCAATTTTTAGATGATTGACAGGTAACAAATTAATAAATTTTTGTAATTGATCCATGGTATCAAGGCTACTTTCGAGCCATAAGGTTCGGATATATTTTAATGGTGTTGGGATGAGATCCTCTGAAGGAAAATCAATTAATCGCAATTCTGTGCAATTTTCATTGAATGAATAAGGCGTTAATGAGTAGTTAAAAAAGCCATCACCTGGTGAATACCAAACATTAGCTAGAGAGAAATGAGGTACAGAGAATAATCTTGCGCATGATGAATCTTTAGTCGAGATCAAACAAGCCATATGCCAGCGTTTTTCGATTGTCCAAAATGAATCTTGAAAGGGTATAAGTACATCGTCACCAGTCATGTTATTCTCTTCTGGTGTTATATTCAATGCAAATTTTGTTAGATGTCGTAATTTTGTTTTAATTAATGTCTTCCATCGTCTGCCATCAAGTAGATCTTGTTCGCCTGTTATTTTTAGCACGAGACTTTTGAGTGATGGAGTAAGTGAAAAAAGATTTTCGAGTTCTTTAAATAATGTCCAACTTTTTGATTCGATTATTAGAGAACTTAAATGCGATGGAATATAATCTAATGTTACCATATGATGCCCGAATGGTATTGATATCTGAAGATAAAATAGATTTGGAACCCAATGAAAAATCATTCGTAAATCGTTAAATGTGCAAGAATGAATAGTTAAATAAGTAAGTTTAGATAATGATTGTTGAAGGGTAATCAACAGTGAACTATCTATGAATGTCAAATGTTCCAAAGAAGATAAAGTTGTCAATATCTCAGTAATAGAACGAGATTTTCTTTTATGTACTTGAATTGGATGACCATTTATTGATAGAGAGCGGATTTGAACATGATTTTCAAGATGTGATAGAATCATGAAAAGTAAATCAGCATCATGAACTTGATTAATACTTATATATTGAAGATTATTAAATTTAATAAGTGGTAAAAGAGACATGAAGAGTTTTATTTGACCCGGACTATGTTCATCATCAGAAAGAAGAAGAGATTGTACTTGATGAGGGTGAATATGTTCGCATATAAAATAGAATGTTGACTTTTTCATCGATTTAAAATTTAGTTTCATACGACTGTATGAATGAAGTATGATATCGAGATATGGATCAATTTGAATGAATGCATTTAGCAGATCGATTGTTTTCAAAAAATCAAAAATGATATGGAGAATTT